CAAAGGAATCCCCGTTGACCATTTGTGTAGGTTAAGCGCGTTATAAAAAAAATCCTTAATGGGAGGGGCCTTGAACGATAGTAAAGGAAACCCCGTAGACCATTCGTTTAGGTTAAGCAATGACAGAAATAAATCCTAAATGGGAAGGGCCTTGAACAATAAGGAAAACCCGTATACCATTCATTTAGGTTGAAAGTAAAGTCAAAAACTCTTGCGAGAGAATCTAATTAAAACCTATAAATGGGAATTTTAAGGGCCTTTAAAGATAGTAAAGGGAAACTCTTATTCCATTTATTAAGGTTAAAGGTTAAGTCGAGACTTTATAATAGTCAACCAAACAAGGGGTTTGGTGAGAAATATTTGACAGGAAAATGATCGTAATGGAAGGGATATCCATGTAGATATTTTACATTCTTCCGAATAATTACGAAAATCATTTCTCCTTTCATAAGAAATAATGACTTAACCTTTAATGTTTTTTTTTTAAAGTAAAGAGAGTACGCGTCAGATATAGGACTACAATGTATATGTATTTTAAAGGGATCATGTCTTGTAATAAAAGTGTATATTTTTCGGTACTGTAGAAAAACATATTTTTTGTAAATTGTGAAAAAGGGGTACATGCAACAACAATGATATTTTTTGTAAAGTGTCTTAATCCATACAATGAGGGTGTTTATGTTCCATGAATTGTCAAAGCATTTGTTTTTGTGAATCGAGCTTTGTAACATTTTTTTTTCATCACTACTGTGTTTTTCTGCAAAAAGATGCCACCACTGCCCAGAGGGAGAAAAAAAAATCAACCACGAAAAATGTACAGAGTATTTTTTGCGTTTGTTGTGTTTTTAAATATTGTGATTTTTTTTTTTGGAAAGTGTATTTTGTATTTCTATACATGTTGTATGCATTTAGATTACATTATATATAGTAAAATGTGTATATGTATTTCCTTTGTTAAAGCCATCTGAAAATACGTGATTTTAAATAAATTTGAAATAAAGTTTAAGTCGGCGCGATAAAATCAAATAAATATCACTAAACATTCGGTTTGATGTAAAATTCGCAGCAAGATGGATTATTCCGTATCATAAGCACTGTAAACAAATCTTGAGGACAAGATTTTCGACAGTAGGGGGGATTTATTATAACAAAAATTGCACTAAAATAAGATTGTACCATGTTTTTGTGTATTTGCAATTTTCTGCAGAGAGAGGCCCTTAGATACGAGTTCTGAAGTTAAAAATAGATAAAGAATCTGCCACACTTTGGTGGCCTTTTGACCTGAACGATTCCCAGAATATACGATTCATAACAATGCGGTTGTTTACTTGTTTACTTGTTTATCGGAAGATGTTTTTGGTGTTAGGAGGAAGAAGCAACTAATGGGATAAGATTGACCAGAGTTCAGGTGTTTGGATAAATTAGCTACAACAAATGATATTTAAAGATTGTGCAAAAGATCGGAAATTATTTTAAAAGTGTATTAGAAGTTTAAAAAGTACTTAAGGTCGGAATAATAGTAATTAAAATTCAAATCAAAATAAAAAGTAATTATTGCAAATTTCGAACGAGACACAAATATGGAGATGGAAATCTACAAACGTAAACCTGGTATTGAAATGAACGTTATTTCCGGATTAGACAACAATATTTCAGTGGGAGGTGTGAACTCTTGACTGTCTTGGTTGTATTTCATACAGGTGAGATAATTTTCTAAACTTGCGCGGTTTTTGTCAAATTATTAAAATTTTCACATGGCTTAATTTATTTACAGATAACATTTTTTATATTAGAACTAATGATGTTTAGTATAATATTTAGTATATTGTGTGAAATTATTTATTGTAATCATAAAGATTACAAATAGATTGTTTAATTTAATAAAAAAAGAGTGGGAAGCTGAATCTTGACTGTCTTGGTTGTATTTCATACAGGTTGGGTACAATCTCCACTCCCCAACAATGGCAGCCGTTCTGGTCCACAAATTTAAAAGGAATTTATAATAAAAGAAATGCGAAATTGAGCCATCCCGGTACCTCCACAGGCCAAGCGAATTCAAAAGGAATCATATAATAAAAAGAAAAGAGGAAATGAGTTGTACGGGTACCTCTTCACGAGTTCCAGTGAATGAGGTAACCTGGTTATGATAAGCGAACCTTTTAAATGGCGGATATTATATATACGCATGATCGGCCCAATGTCATTCGGGACTCTGCCTTCCTAAACCTTTGCTGGTTAGGATTTAACATCAACTAAGGCTGGAGTCCAGAATAAGATTGACCCGGTTATGATAGTTTCACACATAATTTTTTGCTCTTGTTTGAATATGTCATATCTGACAAGCAAAAGGAATAGGAATATTTAAATTTCAAATGTTCATCATCCTAACACCACATTTAAGCTAAAAAAAAATTCTTACACTTGAAATAATCAACAAGTCTCTAAAATAAATCTGCATGCCATGTAATAATTATGACACTTTTCACGTCATGTTAGCTCAAGTATGCAATGACTTGACGTCATATTCTAATATAACGTCATATCTAGGTAGTACAGTGAAGTTACTACAGTTTGACGTCATATTCTAATATAACGTCATATCTAGGTAGTACAGTGAAGTTACTACAGTTTGAACAGTTTGATATTTTACGGGCAGCCTTATCCTAGCCGCGTAGCAGATAAAGCAGAGAGCTACAGATTCAAGCGTTGTAAAAACCTTCGATTTACGCCGATGATTTTTGTCGCAACATAAGGTATTTATTTCGTGCAATCTAAGCTTTCTCTGCATTTTAGAATTGCATCTTTTAATATAATATTATATATGTAACTCTTATGTTTGATACTTTATTTACCTTTGAATGGTCCGAGACAGTCCAGTATATAGTTTTGCAATGTTCCCTTCGAAGTCTGTAACCACTCACATACATTTGTTAGCCTTTAGAGGTAAGTAGATTATGAAGAATTGATGTTTAATGTATGATTAATTGTTAAATTCTATTTAAAAGTAATTTAAAAGCTGGGAAAGTATGAAATACATGTACAAGAAAACATACCCCTATTGAGCGACAAAAGAATCGTCCGAGTAAATCGAAGGTTTTTAAAACGCTTAAATCTGTAACTCTTTGCTTTAACTGTCCGAATTTTCTCTAGCAGAGAGCTAACGTTCTGCAGCTATATTTTATTGAATTTGGAGTCCTCGTGTAACCTACATTTTTTTGAATCTATATCTACAATTTTAATTCATAATGAAATGAAAATATAGGGAATCACTGTCTATTTAGTATAGAATACCAGTGCATCAACGATAGTGGGACACATTTGCATAATGGGCGAAGCCAAAATTGTTGATGCCCTGAACAGTTATTCCTTGATTTCCTCTTCTTCAGTGAATATGAGAAATCTTTTATTAAATCAGCAGTATATTTAATTACAAATCTTCAAACGACCTATAGTTTTATTTCAGAATCCATCTATTAGCCTCTTTTGCAGTACATTGCAATGTGGGGTTGAGTAATGTCCACTCTTTCGTGTCTTTCGAGTCTTTATTCATAACAGTATAGTTCAGTAATCCATATTCTTTAGCCTAAAGGCAAAAACATCTAGTTACATTTATCCTGCAACTACCCCATGCATTGACCTGATAAAGGTAACCTAATAAACCATAGCTTTATCCAGTCACTGCCCTAATAGAGCCTCGTGCATATATTCCGAGGTTCTAGAGGCATTGTGACGTCACGTGTGTTGCAATGTTTACGCCATGGAGTCAGTTTCAACTGTAGAGATGTGATAATCATGGCGTAAATAGCTTGATTGATAACATGTAAGAAATATGTTGCAGGACAAACAAAATACATGATAACTGTCTTGAAATATAAGCGATATTTGGGCTCGGGTCGAAAACGTAAGAGGGCTCAGCAAGCCTCGCCCTCTATCATGTGTTCTTACCCTCGCCCAAATATCGCTTATATTTCAAGACAATAACCATGTATTTTAAATGTATATGCCACATTAGCCATTATCCACTTTTGACGCTCTATATATCAACGATCTAATGGTTATGGATTACTATTTGCGTACGGTGTCTTGTTAACCGAGTTTCTTCTGTCAAGTCCAACGAACGCAAATAAGAGTTAGCTCAGGAAACACTGTGATGTATGCTGTTTATCTAAGCAAGAGGTTCAATATCTCACTTATTCGTCAAACATCGATTTCTTTTTTGACAGCTCAGTAAAACTTTAGTAATGTAAATAAAGTTGTATAGATGAAATATATTCACAAAAAAAGTATGACGAAAATATTTGTTAATTTATGAATTTCAAATTGCAAAATGAAACTCAGATGTAAAGTGTGAAGTGTCCTTAAATTGTTTTCAAGTTTAAGATTATAATTGATTTTTGACCGATGTTATCTAAAAGTTGTAACTCTGAGTTTAAATCAATTGCAGAACTTAAATAATTTCAAATAAACTTGTAACAATTATTTTTATTGTTTAATCAAAGTAAGCATTTCATAGGTTAATGAGAATGTATAAATATGCAATTTTGTATTTTGTGTAAATTGCGCTAGAATTTTCTTTACATATGATTTACTTTTAATTCAAAGTATGACTATTTTTCGTGCATTTCAAATAACATAAAAATTTTTCATTTGCTTAACACCCTTCCCCGCAGTCACGCATTTTAACGCATATACCATTTCCTATTTCTAACGCAAAATCATGCATTTACCGTTACCCCGCAATCACGCATTTTCACGCACTTTAAAATGTTAATTTTATCTTCAATTATTACCAAATTCCAACTATTTTATACTTGCTTGAATCTCATAAAATAAGGAAAGTTATTTTCTAATTAAAATATAATTTCAGAATATTATTTACGCTAAACTCTAGAGAAATTTGTACCCAGCTTTAAAGTGCTTGCGGGGAAATAGGAAAGTAATATTTCTATGACGCGAGGATTCAATATATGTTGCATAGCAATTCCGTAAGTTGTAAAGAGTTAAAAAAGTTTCCATCCGCTGAATGAGGATCTCCAGCTAGAATGACTAAGAAGTGATCCAGTATGGCCAAAGTTAGGACTTGTGCGGATAAAAATTGCATCCCCTTGGTTGATCTCAACGACGACGACACCTGTTGTGTGTCTAATGCTGTTCGCTCCCTCGCCATCACAATCCATAGCACCAACAACATTCGAATTAACAACAATTTCAGAAAAAATATATCCACCAGCAGAACAGTACACAGTCCATGAAAACGTGTACACTCCGTTCACTGGACAGAAGAAGATTCCCGTGTGGTGATTGTAGTTTCCACCGACGTTTGTGATCACGTGGTCAAATAGGATTATCTGGTGACGACCTGGATCGTTTTCATCACGTGACAGATAAGAGTAAAATGCCACGTCACCTGTATTGATATCTGTTTAATATTTGTAGAAATTAAAGAACGTGAACTATTATTCATAAAAAAAAATATAATAAACTTATTTAATTGAATTTTCATACATTTTTTAATATTTCGAGTCGAAATATATTTTAAATCGTATCTTGCATACCTGTGACAGATCTCTTTTTAGACTTCTCTATCCTGAAGTTCAAAGAGGAATTTTCAATCCCAACACTAGAGGGGTCATCAAATTTTTTCAAACCCATTTTGGAAAATAAGTTTTCCCCAGTGTTACTTCTATTTCTTAAGGAATGGTTAAATCCTTCACTATAAGTTCGCCCTTTGGTATCAAGAGAGATTTCTTTTTCAGGCATGCCGGCATTTTTCCACTTTTTATTTTCAAGAATCAAAGTTTTGATGACCTTCTCTTGTTCAGCATTTATTGTTTCCTGCACTTGCACTCTTTGCTCTAAATCATTCAGTCTTTCCAGCAACTGAGATAGAAATACATCGTTACTGTCTCTGCTATTGGCGCTGACTGCCGAACATACCGACAGCAAGAAGATTGCAATGGAAAACATATTCAATCTTTTAGAAGATGACTGCACTTTAACATAAAAGACAGTAGATTATATACATGTGTCATTGCATTGAACCATCACCTTAAAGTCACGCCATGATAAGAAATGCCGACTTAGAACTAATATTGACTGAAGAATTATTGTGCTATTTTTTATTCTCATTCTAGAGATGGCTAGAGATTTTTAATTCTTATTTAAGATAGAAGACAAAAATAATACCATTGTCTCTTAACACAGGAAGAGAAAACAAACAAATAGAATTAAAACAGTTTATAGCCGTTGTTTAATATTGTTAATGCAGCACCACCACATTGTGTTCATTTACATGTTCTATACCTAATATAAAGAAGTTTCTGTGACCTTTCTTTCTAAATAATTAATTTTTTAAATGAATTTATTAAGAAGTCTTCTACAGAACTAGTAATTCTTTTCCTATGGTACTGCATGGTATAATTCCTTTTCAACGCAACTCGTTTAATTTCTTAAAATGAGACCTCCTTGTAATCGACATCTTTATAAACAAGTATTCTTGTATTGATATCAGAAAATTTCAATTTATATCTTTTATATAAATTTGATAGCTGATAAATTTTTAGCAAAATTTTTACGTTTTACTATTTTAGATTTTACGTAGATTTTTTTGTATACATTAACGTGCAGAATATTAATTTCTTTAAAAAACAGATTTTGCTATCCATTGTTTTCAAACTGCTTAACAATTACGCAATCCTTGGCTTAAATTCGACCTAAGACGTAAACATAGGTAGTGACTGCTCCTTCGCCAAGCGCTCGGCACTAGAAGTGAAAGTCACGGGTCTTTCGGATATGACCTTAAAAACGTAGGTCCCGTGTCACGGTAGGCGTTGGCACGATAAAGAACCCTCACTGCTCAATGGCCCTGAGTGCCGAGTATAGGTCTAAATTTGAAGCCCTTAACCGGCATCGGTGACGTCTCCATATGAGTGAAAAATTCTCAAGAGGGACGTTAAACAATATACAATCAATCAATCTTCAATTTCTCTGCATGTTGGTACACAGATTCACCACGCTCTCTCACTTCATTGCGCGTGCGCTGTACAAGTTTGGACAGAATTATCGAACGTATGTTGCTTTCCTGTCACGTGACTTAGACCCGGACGAGGAACATCTGGCAAGGGAGGCGAGGAGTTTAGAGCCACAACTTTTAGAAAGAATGAAAAAGAAAGACGTGTATCAAGGTCACAATAATGCCAGACCGTATGAAGCAGTTTAAAAGAATTAGCTATATTAATTTGTGAGGTTTGGAATCTAGACAACAAGTGCCAATGACAAACAAGTACAAAGTAACGTATGGAACATGAGAATAAATACTTCCATGAATATTGCTGGATGATATTCTCACACATTAACATAGAAATGTTAGGTTGTTTCCGATATATACAGGGTGGTTCAGAAAACATGCAACCATTTACTTCCCTCACTATATTGAAATGCAAACAGGAACATATAAAAATTTTATATGAAATTATGTTATAAAGGCTAAAGTTTTTATCAATATCAAATTTTAAGAAAATAATTACCATTTTAATTAATCATGACGGCATATTTGACATCAATGAAAAAACAGATAATTTCATTCTATTCTATAATTAAATGAAAAGCAATTATAAAATAATGTGATACTGCTTTTTCAAAGCAAGTCAACAGTTCCTGTGATTAAAGCAATGCATGAAAATAAGGTTTACAGAATGCAAAGATTGTACTTATAGCAAAATAAAGTGGAAGTTGTATAAATCTGTTAAATTTTGTAGCTAACTGAAGAGTTTTAAAATGCATAATCAAAGAAAAAATGAAGTAAAAGACAATTAGAACACATGAAATAATTTAGAATGTTACTAAAAATGCTTTTTTCCAGAGATTCACATGAAATTCTTTTGTAAAATAATTGAGTTTATGATAAAATTGAGTAAGTCAAATGTAGATCAGATGCTAAAATATGTGTTGAACCATAAATCTTGAACTTGTTAGAACAATTGTTTGGAGGACCATTAAACGCTTTCAAATCCATTAACGTATTGGCCCTCCACACTAAAATGACTGAACATCGCTTGACTTTTATCTGTGGGGATATTTGATGATCAACCCCTCCCATCCCCCACCCCCGATAGACGGAAGTGAACTTAAAATAGTTTTTAAAATGAGACCTAATTCCTTTCCAAGAGTCGTTGAAATATAGAACATTTGTAATGAGAACTTTTTTGCATCGAATAGATTTATTCTTTGGGCAAAAATGACGCCATTTAGAACATATTGTTTAACAAAGTGAAATTTTACACGTTTCTTTTTTTTCTTTTGTAAAATATTATCTATCTGCCATATTAACATTATTTTCGCAACAAAAAATATTGAAATCATGACTTTTCATTTGATATGTTGGTTCATAGCATTGGTTAAAACACCAGTAAAATCTAATCAAACAAAATGGTTGCATGTTTTCTGAAACACCCTGTATGTACCTTTAGTAAGCTTCATTGATAGAAATGATTGTTTTGTTTTGACATTGTTCTCGTTTAAAATTTAATACTAGTGCAATATCATGGAAAATTTAATAGAGTGAATAATCTGACACCGGATTCCACCTCTGATGTTTTGGAGATCCGTGTTTTCTCTGCTCCTATTTCGTATTGTGTTATGGACTGAGGCTGAATAATGTTCGTTACAGACGACAAGATAGATAGGTACTGTCGAAAATTGAAAAAGAATTACAGAAATATTTATCATAAAATGGCAAAATGTTGTTTAGAAGAAGTAATGTCATAAATTCTTTTATGAACACCATACATAAATTTTTGACGAGGTAATTTTGAATGAAATTTGCCGAAAAATTCAAGTGCTTTAGAAGAAATTGTTGAACGAGAGCTTTGGTTTTACGAGTTTTTTTGGTCCTGTGAAAAAACCCTTCAATATGGGGTTTTTACATTGTATTTTAAACGGCATCACTTGAAAAATTATGAAGATTGTGTAAAAATAAAACGCGGGGGACAAAAAAGAGAGAAGACATCAAGATTCAATTCTAATCTTAATTGTGTGACAAACGGGATGACATGAGTCAATGGTAATAAATTCATAAATTCTGTCTGTTTTAAGGGACTCCGAGCCTCAGCCATGAAGGACAACTCTTTAATTTATAATTTAATTCAAAAAATCTTTAAATGAAGCTTGAAAATTAAATATTTTCTTGCAACAATTTTCATTATATGACTCTCAATGTGTTCTTTGCAAAACTCCATAAACCACTTTTAATTGCACATCATGTAAATAAACATTTGTATATCTAAAATGCTTTTTCTGGATAAAAATTTCTAGTTTTAATTCGACCTTTTTGAGAAGTTCAACGAACCCTGAAGCATGGTTTTAATGAAAATGCAAACATGCGCAATGATGTATCTTCCAAAATTGTGAATTTCATGCCCCCTAGGTCGGGGGTTCTGGTGTTAGGGTTGGGCTCTATTGGTAACATAGTGAAAATACATTTTATTCTTTAAAAATTTTCTTTTCTGCTACTGGGTATTAAATAAACTTACCATGTACATGGTTATGTTGAATAAGACTACCTCTTCTTAAATTGTGAATTTCGTGGCCCCTGGGTCAAGGGTTCTGGTGTTAGGGCGGGGTATATTGATAATATAGTGAAAATACATTTCCTTCTTAAGAATCTTCTTACATGTAGCTCTTGTGCATTAAAAAACTTGCCAGGTACATGGTTATGTTAAAAAGGCTGCCTCTTCGAAAATTGTGAATTTTCTGGCCTGCAGGGTCAGGGGTTGTGGTGTTAGGAATGGGCTCTATGATTATAGAGTGAAATTGCATAAATCCTTTTAAAATTTTCTCCTCTGCTCCTGGGTATTACACAAATGAACTATGTACATTGTTGAGATGAGGAAGGATTCTTCTTTTCAATTTGTGAATTTCAGGGCTCCTCAATCAAGGGTTCTGGTGTTAGGATGGGACTCTAATGATAATATAATGAAAATGCATGAATTCCTTATTTTTTCCTTTGCTCCTGGATATTATGCCAATGATCTAAGTACATATTAATGATGAAGAAAGCTTTCTTCCTAAAAATGATTTATTTCAGGGCCCCTGGGTCAGGGGGTACCGGGGCTGTCTTAGTCTGAAAATAAATTTATGCTTTGAAATTTGCTCTTTTGTATTAATCAAGCATTTATGATGCAATAAAATTTAATTGATCATAAAATTTCCAAAAGTTTGAAATATATGGCCCAGGTTTAATGGTTTCTGTGGGGCGGGGTACACAAGACTTTTTGATTAAATCACAACCAAAATTCATTTGAGTGTTAGGTGTTACATGACATTAATGTGACCTATAAGTCCATTAAACAAATTAATGTGGCCCATGCCCCTCCCCCATCCCCTCTCCCCAACAAGACACAAATTTTCTTAATTATTTTGTATTTTTTTTTTAAATATGCAATTAGATAAATCAATTAAGGGCGCTACAATGTAAAACAATTTCTTGTTAAAGATATAAACCTAACAATTGAAAAATATAAATCATGTAAAAGGACCACCTAGGCAAAAATAATTTCTCTGAAATGGTTAAAAATATATTACACAGTGCTTTTAAAGAGCAAAAGTCAAGGTCCGTGTTTGCTCCTCTTATTTTGTAGATTTGTTTAATGGACGTAGAGATTGAATAACGTTCACAAATAGACTGAAAAACTTAAAATTACAATTTGGAATTTTTTGGCCGGATTTCAAAAAAGGACAAGTATGCCCCTGGATATATCAACCGACTATAGATTTTTTTCAGACCAACTTTCTTTTTTCAATATCTCTTACATATTTTCTGTAAGAGGTCTTCAAAATAGCAAATGTATATGGATGATTTTCGTACGTTTTACGGAACGTCATAATAACGTTGTGAATTTTAACACTAATGAGTTCTCATAAATAAAGTGATTAATATTTATTAATCGAGTATTTCACTAAAGATGTAT